GTGGCTGACCAGATGGAACGCAGCTTGGCAGAAAAAGATCTGGGGATCCTGGTGGTCAACAAATTTAACGTGAGCCAGCAACGTGCTCTTGTGGCAAAGGAGGCCAACAGCATCCTGGGCAGTATTAGGCAGAGCATTGCCAGCAGTTGGAGGGAGGTGATCCTTCTCCTCTAATCAGCACTGGTGAGACCTCTAGAATGCTGTATTGGGCAGCCCAGAACTGAACACAAGAGGCATGAACATAATGGAGCCAGTGCAGCAAATGGCCACAAAGATGATTAAGAAAACGGAGCCTCTCCCACACAAAGAGAGGCTGAGAGAGCTGGGTTTATTTACCATGCAGAAGAGAAGGTTTGGTTGGAGGTGGTGGGGGAACTTATCCATGTATATAAGTATCTTAGGGGAGGCTGTAAAGAAAACAGAGGCAGACTCTTCTCAATGGTACCCAGTAGAAGTACAAGAAAAAATGTGCACAAACTGAAATCAGAAAATTCCACTTAGACAAAAGAAGCTTTTTTAAAGTGAGGGTGGTCAAATACTGGAACAGATTCCCCAGAAAGGTTATGGAGTCCCCATCCTTAGAGATATTCAAAACCTGATTGGGCATGGCCCTGAGCTACCTGCTCTAGCTAATCCTGCTTTGACCAGGGGTGTTAGACGAGATGACCTCCAGAGATCCCTTCCAACCTCAACCATTCTGTGATTCTATGATCCTATGAAATGACCTGATATGAACTTTAGCTTGCATGCTTCATGTTTCCCTTCCCTGCAACTGTCCCAGTTTCCTACTACACAGCACGCAAGCTATGACTTCAGGATACAGCAGAGATCCAGGTGAACGTTGCTTTTTACTTCAGTTGGAATTTTCCTCCCTGGGCTCTGAAGGCCTTGTAGTTATTTTTTGCTCTTACTATTTTTTGTTTCCCCATCTTTCCTGCTGCCCTCTCATCTTTTACATAGCATGAAGGCAGGTATAGTTACATTAATAGGCACAGAGTTGAAAGCAATAATTAGTAGTTGACAGAATGTGTAGTTCACAATCAGGGGTCAGTATTTGATGTAGAAAAAAGGCCAAAAGAACCAGAAGTGATTAAGTTCTTAAATTTTGTCAGAATATCTTGCCCAATGGGGAAAGAGGAGACCAAGAGCCTCCCAAGACTGAAGGCCTCCTCTTAGAAGGGAACAAAAATATAGAAGGAAAAAGAAGGAGCTAGAGATGAAGCGGAATTCAATAGATAGCATAAAAAGAGATCCTTATACAAGTGATGGCGCTTCCATGCTAAAAGCCCCTTGATTTTTACATTTCACATTTCAGCTAACAGTAGTAAGGCTTACTTCTTAAAATTCATTCGTGTATACTCCAAGCACATATGTGTCTACGATGATCTAAAACTAAACAGAAGAATCTTAATTTCTACTAAACTAAAGAACAAGAGAAGAAACCCTTACACATCTCGTGAAATAAAAAAAAACAAAAAAAACCCTTTTCTTTAAGCATATATTGACTTTTTAAAATGTAGTACATGCAAAATAATATGTTACTCTTCAATAATATGTCCATGTTGCATATATAAGGAACATCTACCACAGAAAGGTCAGCCTACCATTTTCATATCTCATAAAATGTATGTGCTGTAACAATTTTGGCAACAAATGCCAACAGTCAGTGGCTGCAGTCCAGTACATGTTAACCCCTAAAACCCAATGCGCTTTAAGGATGTGAAATTGAGCAGCTGTGGCCATGTGCACTACAGTCAAATTGGACGAGGCTTTTTAATGCATGTCTGCTATGATTACAACCACCATACAACTGGAGACATTTCTTCAGTTCCATGCTTAACTGCTCAGTGCAACAATTTCAAATGATGAAACCTAGAGATCTTTTATTAATGTTACACTACCTTTTGCTTCAGGAATTTCTCAAAACATTTACCAGTATCCCCAGTTTAACACAAATCAAAACAAAAATCTTATAGCA